CTTATCAGCACCTTAAACAAAGAAGGTGATTTAGTGCAGATTCAACAGGAACCTCAAAAATGTCAGAACAGCTCTGACTCAACAATTTTCTTCTATAGATGGTTTTGAACAAAAGCCCTGGATCCAGACATACTCAAAATCAAACCCATTTTAAATCAAGCACTGACATAAAGCTGAACGTGTATGTTGACATCATCTTCCCCTGTCCTCGTTCACTTACTAATAAAGATACATCTTCATTACAAAAGCTGCAAATTAAATGATTCAGAGGTGCATGCATGGCAGCATGAAATGATCCCAGAGAACACTTGCAAGCCCATACTGGAAAACAGAATACAAGCCTGCCTTGTTCAGCAGAAACTCAGGTACTTAATGGTCTCTATTAATCTAATACTGTCCTCCATTATTATAGTCACTGACATTACAACTACTGCAAGGACACTGAAAACACCTAACTAGGCAACTTTATGTGGTTCTATTGGATTCTAAGCCATCTCTGCTGATGCTTTTCTCATGTTATTGGTCTGGATTTCTGTCTCAGATTTTTCTGAAGAACAACTTTTTACCTCAAACTCTGGGCAGGAAGAAGTGAATGCACAGAACCCCATTCTCCAAGAGAAGTCACTTACCTTTGTCACGTCAGGTATATTAAAAAACTTCTTGGTATGAGCAACCCATCCCACTATTCCAATGTCCAGAGGAAAAACAGTCTCATTTTCTGGTTTCACCAAATTCTGCTCATAGCTGGAAGTTGGAGTGATATCAAGAATCCTGGAGGCTACCTCTGGAGTACCATTTCGGGAGCGACAAATGAACAGACTACACCGATCAGCTGCCAGCAGCTGTGCCAGCCTCTGCAGGACCTTGTGCACCATCTTTTCCATAACACATGCCTCATCCTGAAGTTCTGATACCAACTCAAAAATTATGTTACTCTCCTCCAGACGGGACATTTCTTTGAAGCTGATTCCTTCCTTCACATCTCCAGGGTTCACGTTAAAGATGCTTCCCACCACTTCAGGTCTCATTTTTCGGTCGAAATACTCCTTGGCAAACTGGGGATTGTTCTCCAAGTATTTTTCAACGGCATCTTTATTTACCTCACCCATTTTTGCTGGATTTTTCTTAGGATTTCTTTTAGAACTGCATCACCATCAAAGCAGGAATGGCAGCAAAAAGTCCTAACCTGTTACTAGTAAGAAAAATGTACTTTGTACATATTGTATAGCTCACAGACATAATACATTCATCTTCCTCTGTGGCTTCCAAGCCTTCTGATACTCTTGAGATATGACAGAAGGCACTGGCTTAGCATCTTCTTAGTGTGAGATCTTGGAGACCGCTAATTAAAGAGATGTCAGGACACTAAACCCCTGAGCATTCTTAGCTCATAAATCCTCAGGGAGCCATTTTAGCATTCTAAACTAACCAATTAATTCTTATAAAATTGTCAGATGTGTAGATATGTGTACCTGTGCGTTATCTCCTTCATTCACTGTATATATACTGTGCTGTGCAGACAGAAGTTCCTATTAAAACTTCCTATGAGAAATTCCACCCAGATTCTTACCCCACATTATACACGTGCACAGATGTACACACGTGTATTTGTGGGAGGCACTTAAGGGCAGGAAAACAGAATGTTATGGAGAAATCTTTTAAAGGTTAGAACTTAGCTTTCCTTGAAATAGTCAGGAGATAATAGAAATTGGATTACTAAAAGTAAATAATTAAATAAATTATAAAAAAGGTATACATTAATAAAATGCGTGAAATTCTTAAGACCTTACAGAAGTCTGAGCTTGCTCAAGTGCTTGAATGATTTACCTAGGTGAAGATGGAATAAAAGAATTAAAATGTGACTTAGCACAGCCAGATATGGCTTATTCTTTTTTTTTCCCTTCAAAAAGAGAGAGGCAAAATAAAAAATAAAATCAGAAAACTGATTAAATTCAAACCGAGGAAACAGTAAAATTTTTATTCTATAAGCATAAATATCCAGTCAAGGTCTACATTTCTTCAGAAAAAGTTGGAGATGTCAGTTCTATGAAATAGTGCAAAAAGGATAATAACTGACAAACATTAGGCAAAGAGGGAATCTTGAGTCTGGTCACAGATATACCACAGATAACCATGTATCTACATAGATACAGATATATGGTTATACATGTTTAAAGTCTCCTGCCATTAGAAGTTCAATATTACATACATGAATGGAAAATGAATGGTGGAAAATATCTTGAATTTGAGGAGCAAACATTCCAAAGCTACATGAGAAGGCTGAATTTAAGTGCCAGCTATGACAGTAAATGATCTGTGTTCATTGAAACAGATCTGAATTCCAGCACAGTAGGAGAACTGCAATACAATTAATCTTACTTCTGTTTATGGCTACCACGTAGATCAAAAGCAATGAGAGATTCTTGGTGTAAGAAAATAAAACATACACCCTTTGGCCATTCTTGATTTGATCAGAGTATTGCCAAAGTACATCATCTGTCTGCCAGAAGCCACAGTGAGTCAACATTAGTATTTATCACCAGATCTCAAAGAATCAACAAGGGCAACTGACACAGATACTCCTGAGCACGAAGAACAGGTCACTGATAGATGCTCAATCATGCCTAACATTACTTTTCCCTCTGACCATCATATGAAACACTATGTATGGAACTAATTTTTTGCCAGGCTGCAGATACTCTACAGATTTTAAAAGGTATATGAAAATCAGCACATTACAAACACAATTTGGCCTGGCTCCCTTTCTCTGACTGGGCTGCTGCCCCCAGCAGCCTGGGGGACAGGCCCCTCCCTGGTGGGTGTGTGAGTCTGCTGCATCTTCTTGACAGGTGACCCAGTGATAGGAACTTGTGGCAACCCAGCAGTGTTCTCACTGTTGTACACACACACAGTTTACAAGAAAACAGCGGAAGAAAGGCACATTTATTCTCACTCAAATTCAATATTAGTAGTTTCAATATTTGATCAATACATATAAAAGCACTAGAGACTTGAAAATAATTTTATATGTAACTACATAGAGTTAAATTAGTGCTTGTCATCTTCCTAATTTCTAGCTCATTACTTTTCATTCTGTGCTTTAAAAGAAGAGGATGATGAAGAGCCTCAGTGAAATCATGTGGAGGAATTGTGACATTTTTTTGCATTATGTGTTCAGTCATATTTTTAACTGACTTTGGAACATTCCACATAGTTTCTTTGAAGGAGAAGGCACCTATAGAGGATCTGTCTCATACCCAGCTAAAACATTCTAAAAATTAACTTCTATGTAAGACTTACACATTCATCTTTATCACACATGATAAATCAGTTTAGACATCAATTCTTTATGTTGTGATCACATTAATTCAGTGAAACAGAGTGGCATGTCAGTCTCTGGAGGGAGAACAACTGAATACAGGCAGACTGACCAAGTGATACCATTTTCTTTGGGGGCTGGGAGGTGGGGGGTTTACATTTTTGTAAACGAACAAATTTAGTGTAATTTTATTATCATTTTTTTCTATGTGCAAATCACCTAAAATGCTTATCATGCTTTCATCAAATCTTCCTCATGCTCATCTCTTTTTACAAAGGGTAAACTACACTATTTGTACTTTGAGATAACAAATAAAGATAATTTTATAATTTAGTACTACTGTAAGGTGATACATTTTCTTTGTAATAAAATATTCCAGATGTCTCTGGGCTGTCCCATAATAATTTTTATGTCATAAAGAAATTCTTATTGCATTTTCCTTAATTTAGATACACTCTTAAAATTGCACTCTTGTGCTGTCAAGTGTGCAACAAAACGGAAAGAAATATCAGAAAACAACAGAAGTTCTTTTAAAATTTTTGTAATAAATTTTAAAGTTTCTCTGCTGGAATATGACATTTATTTTCTGTTCTATCTCTTTTACTCTCCTTTTTTCCACAGTATTGAGCATTTTATTTTTATTAAACCTAATTCACATTTGTATCTAAACTTAATTTAATTTCAGAGACTCTCAGAAATATGTATGCTTTGTGATTTTAATACATATGATATCATTTGCCTTTGACGTTCATAGTACCTACAGAAATGGAACTATTTATGGAGTAGTTCTTAGTAGTAGACCATTCCTGAGCCCTTGTGATACATGGAAACTCCTAAGAAGGATAACTGACAGACATGGTTATTTAAATAGATTCAAGCAGCACGTAAATGTCAAAGGCATTTATAAGGTTTCCCAGTTCAGCTCACTGTTTGTATTTGAATGTCTCTGCCCATCCTATAGCAGTAAATGTGGTTTATTCAGTTAAGATTTTCTGAAAAAACACAGATCAAACATGCTTATTTCAATTGCATGAATTTTGATGTGGTTAATCTCTTGGTTGCTGTCTGGACATTGGAGATTCATATGTATAAGCCAAGAAATCAATATTCAGAGTTGTTTGTGGTTTTTTTCTAAATGAATACATTCTGAGAATTGATTCTGTTGTTTTTTACAACAGGTACTGTGTGATCCTAACACAGCCAGGTTTTGGCATGAAAATGTTTTGGTGTCACTGACTTGGTATCCTCTGGGAACTCTTATAAACATCCTTAATTTCATGTTTCTTTTAGAATAATTGTCTATCCCTTTTCTTACAAAAATAATTTTAAAAACATAAACACTGAAGATTGTAAGTTACCTGCTTTTTCCATAGAGCTGCAAATGTTTATGTTCTCCTAAAACTACCAATTATTAGCTCTGGGGGATCATGAAGTTAGTAATCAACAGAGATTATAGACTCTGGGGGAGATTTCCTGAAGTAAATGGCCAGTCTAGTGTGAAGGGTTGCCAGATGCCCTGCAGCTTTGACCAAAAGTATGAATTTCTTCATAGTTTGGCATGAATTTTAGTATACAGACTAAGGCAAAAGGCAGCAGCCTTTTAATGTCAGCCATTCTCCCATTTACTCTCTGGAGATCTTAGGTTACTTGACAAGGTTTTACTATTGACAATGTTTTTCAGCACTGCTGAGAAGGATCTGACAGTCTTCTTCATGCCCTCCTGTCAGGTATGTATGTTGTTAAGATGCCCCCAAACCTTTTTGGGCAGAAGAGTCTCAGCTTTGTCAGCCTCTATTTTTGTCAGATTCTCCTATTGCTTTGTGAACTTTGTGGTTATTGCTGGACTCAGTACATAAGGTCTGTGTCTTTCATCATTTATAATTTAGAGCTCTTCTCACCTGCCTGGCCAGCCTGTTGCTGAACTTTAGATCTTTGTTTTATATTGCTTCCATTTTAGCGATATGTCCAGAAAAAGCTTCAATTCAGAATCACAGTCCTTAAAAAGACTTGTTAAAGAAAACAGAGGTACCATTTTAAATTAGTTCTGTTAGTAAATACTATTTGTAAAGACTTCAGTGTAAATTTACTCCCTAAACAAAATGTCGCGTCATTAAGTTACAAGAACAGGTAGTACACAGGCTGGCATGGAGCAAAGGGCAATCTCTTCCATTCCTTTCTGTCCTTGACCTCTGTACTCAGACTGCCACCAAGAGGAGCAGTTGTGATGGTGGCAGTGCACGCTGCTGTCCCTTACAAAGTACACCGAGCTCCTTGGCGCAGCTCACGCCATTTGTTATAGATACGAGTCTGGTTTCACAGGGCACTTGCATCCCCTGCTCTGTGCACACAGTGGTCATTCATTTGCCTGCAAATCTGCCTCTGAGACTTTAATGGATACCCATGTTTATGAATGGCATTCTGTAAATAAACAGTCAAGAGAACACAGCAAAAAGTCTTTCAATCTATTGTAGTCTGGCTGGAAATGGATGTTCCATTTCCTACTAGCAATTTTTGAGTCGACTTTCTCCTAAGAGCTTGACTAGTTCTTGTGAACAAAAATAAAATTTTAGTTATTTCAATATGTAGACCTTGAAAGGTGCCGTGTTAAAATAGTAATTTCCTTTTATTAAAAGTCATAAATAAATATAAAATAATTCCTATAATGAAAGGGTTTTTTTCCAGCCATTTCCTTCCATATTTTTTCCTTGCTATACCTAATTGAGAATATTGCAGAATTTTACGTGCTATTAATGTAGAAAATAATCCAGTCACAGAATCACTGACAGAAGTCAGCCCCTTTTCTGTCCTCTTGGCAAAATGCAAAGGTAGAAGACCTTCTTTTCCTTTCATTAAATATAGTTCCAAAAAATACATAGTGACTTTAAAAAAAATTCTGTAGTATTCATAATATGCTGCCAGCCTCAGATATCAGAAGTCATGTATGAAACTTATCAATATTTAAATCATTTATTGAATTTTAATAATTCCCTTAAATATAATTGTCTGAGCTTTCCCAGAACCTAGAAATCCTTGGATATCAGTGATTTGATCTATGCTTAGTCCTCTCAGATGCAAAATCCTGGCCCAAGTTCCTTTCCGTTTGCATGACAAGTACAAATCTAAGAGGTGAATATTTAGGTTTGAATGAGGATCACTCACTGACATAATTTCTCAGGCAAACTCAGAGCCCAATCAATCCAAGTGATATTTAACTGAGGCAAAGTTTACACTGTTTATGAGTTTACACAGTTCTGCTGGCATCTCTTAGGACTGAGGAAGAATTCACCCTTGAATTGCCATAGCCCTGCTCATCTGCCAGAAACCTTTCATTCCTCCCCCAGCACACCCTGATCTAGAATTAACCAACAGCAGAGCAGCATTTTTGCCTAAAATTCCTGTCCCACTGACCAAGGAAGTGCTTCATGTGTAACCCTGGAAGGACTTCACCAATGTAAGCTGTGTCTGCAGCACGCAGTATGGGAGGGACAGCTAGAGCAGGGGAGGCAGCGAGCCCAGCTCCCCGTGTGGTCTCCATGGCATTCTGACTTCCCAGCTTCTCTTCTGCCCTTGTCGAAATCTGACTGGGAAGTACTGGTGTGATTTCACTGGAGCTGCACTGCCCCACATTCCCAATGATAACACATCAAAAGAAGATTTTCCTTGGACATTGTCTAGAGTTTGTAGAGATCCCAAACTCAAGCTCCTGAATAAGTGGAAGTTATAATTACTAAATGTGTCAGGCACCTCAACCAGATATAAGTTGCCGAATATTGCAGAGATCAGTAGAGGTACACAATTAAAGAAATGCTGTGCCATGGCTTATACAAAATTATATGTTTCTTATTCAGATTTATTGCATCAGATTAATATAGGAGACTGGAAAATCCCTTGCACACATTTAGAACTGATCTTATTAAAACTTATTAACAGAAATAAACTTTTATTTAATTGCCATGTGGTTTAATTTCCTGTCTGTAAATCTTCTGACAACAGCAGTATGTATAAAAGGAACACTGACCTAGCTTTTCAGAGGTGGTCAAATCTCAGCAGATTTTGACATATGTGCGTGAGTGACTGTGGACTCCTTTGAAAACTTCATAGACAATTATGCTATTGAAAAACTTGATAGGAATAGATTTGATCCTGCAAGAACCTCTCTGGTAATATAAAGCAGTATGCAGATTTTTGAACAGAACAAACTTAAGAAGAATGATAATATTTCACAAATTGTCAGAGAATAAAGAAATAATTGTTTTCTTTGGTATTAAATAAAGTAATTGATTCAAAACTTATGAATTAAGCTATAATCCATCTTATTGCTATCAATCATGTGAGACAGTGAACAAAGAAAATCCATGTTGATTTTGGTCTTGTTCATATGATGAATTCATATATCAAGACCAGTGAGTGTCTTGTAAAGGTTTTATAAAAATGTATATGTATCACTGGTATCACCATTGCCAGACTAGAGCAAGATTCTGAAAGTCACCAGAAGAATAGTTTACTTTTTCTCTTCAGTCTTTGTAGGAATTAGCAAATTTGAAAATCTCAGCTCAAAAATTGAAATGTTGACTTATTGCAAAGCTACCACTGAAAGTTTCAGGACAATTAATATACACCCTTCTAATTCCTTGGCTTAAATATGTTCTTTACTATGAATAGAAGCTTAATATTAAATTTAGTGGAATTTTTAGTGGCTGATGTTTTCCAGGAAATCAAAGGCAGACATGGAAGAGCCCTGAGCAATAGATGTTTAAGAAAGTGAACAAAACATATTCAGTGTGCAAAAAGCCTCCAACATAAAGCAGAAAAGGAAGATAAATCAATCAGATTGTTTGCATTATATATGAGAAGAGATTTTACAGGACAGCAACAGTAAGAAGTCTAATATTTTTATGAATGTATGAAAGGAATATTAAGTAAACTTCTGGGAAAGACTATGCTGAATAAATTGGTTAAAGCTGTACATCGGCTACTATTGAGGTATTTTTATACTACATTTGTATCTTCATATTAAAATTATATCTTTGCTTGATTTTTAAAGTAATGAATACCAGCCTTTTAAATAACAGGATTCTGCCTTTATTCTTTAAAAAAAATGGGAGGTGAAAAGGTAGGTGAATTAGTTCTCTTGGTAACAATCATTCCTATCCTGCTCTGGTTACATGCCTAGAAAATAATTAACAGATTTTCTCTAATGCTTCCTAAAGATGTTGAAACTAGAGGACAAATATTGACTGAGAGGCAGCAAAACTTGCCTGGACAGGAGAAATTAATGGTTTATATAACTGAAAACAGTTTGCCAAAAACAGAACAGAAGTTATGGAATATCTGATTTAAAGTTAATCACATGTCAAAATGGCCAGAGGTGGTGTGTACATGCACTTGGATATTTGCAGGCCACACTTAAGTTCTGGTACTACATAAAAAGGCTCTTTCACCATCCTGAGGATCTGCAGGGCCCCTGTTCCTGTTGCTGGGAGCTGATCAGGAGATGATTTCACCGCGAGAGCCTTTTGGAAGCAAGAGGGAGCCAGTCATGAGGACCTGAAGAGGTTTTGGCATAACCAGGCTTTCAGAAACAGGAGCAGAAACTTGCAAGCATTATGTTTGCCACTGTTTATCAGGGTAAAAGAGGGAAGGACTTTGAGGAGGAGGTGGAGGAAACAAACCTGCACCTTGTAACTGGGTCCAGCATATTGGGTAAGATGGATTTTGGACTGCAGTGTGTAAAATCACAGGGGAGGTGGAGGCAGTTCACTCTCCCCCATGCAAAGGTGGGATGCCTCTCATTCCATTTGTTCTCCCCACACATGTGGGCTCACACCTTCCCCCAGGTGTGAGCTCTGCTTTGGGGTTGGGAAAAGCAAAGAGAGGCATTTGTTCCTAGCGCCGGCGTGGCTGCAGAGCAGGGTCAAAGACCACCTGAGCCCACGGGTGTTACGCAAGAGGCTGTAATGAAGGGGCCCCAGCCCGCAGCATCCACCAGCCCGCCTCCCGCTGCCCTCCCCAATGCCGGCACTGCGGCTCAGCGGGTTGCGAAAGCCCCGGGAGTACATAAAGCATTCCCTGCCTGGGCACTGCCACCACCATCAACACTCGGGCTCCCAAGAGGCTCCAGGGACCGGCACTGTCTGTAAGGGACCCTGCTGCTATGGGCTGGGGATGAGCAGGGGCCTTGCCTGCACATGCATCAGGGAAAGCTGCGTGACACCCTGGTGACCTACCAGGGCAGCCTTCCTCCCTTCGCTTGTGTGACAGAGCTTGTTTCTGATGCTATTCTCTGTTTGCTGCAGGGACAGAATGGCCCACACACAGAGAGCTCTGCCCTGGCTGCTGCTGCTGTCACTGGCCTTGGTGGGCAGCAGCACTGCAGAGCGGGACTGCCGAGTAAGCAGCTTCAAAGTCAAGGAGAACTTCGACAAGACCAGGGTAAATCTCTTTATTCTCCTGGATCTGTGATGTCTTGCATAGCTCTTTCCAGGCTACAAAATTTGGCATTCAGTAGCACCAGTGTGGTCACATTTTGAAGTCACAGACTGTGACACTGAAAAACAGCTAAAGTTTGTGATGTGCACACCTCCACAGATGCTGAATCCTGGTGCACCTGATAAAGGAATACTGCAGAAACTGAGTTTTAGCAGACTGGTCTCAAACTGTAGGGTATAAGCAGAAGGACTGTATTGACTTGGCTGTTTCTGTGAAAAATTAATACTCTGGTGTTTTCAGACACCATTGCAAGGGAAAAAAAATGTACATAGATCTGACAAGATCTTCTAGTTGTTATTTCTTTTCCCACTAAATTTTGTTATACTTTGTTATATACTTTGTTATATATTCCTTATACTAGACAGCTGCAGATACAGGTAAGTTTACCCAAAAAAAATCAGTATTTCAACAAATTATGATTGCACTAGCATGTATTGATGGGTTCATGCTGTTGAAACAGATGGATTTGCTTCTTAGATACACCTTTAAGGCAAGATGTCAAAGATCTGCATGCTCTTCCCTCTGTCACCTCCCCTATTCTGTACTGTCTGCTTGTAATGTTTCCATTGTTCTAAGTCTACATGCAGCCTTTCTTATTTCCTTGCAGTACAGTGGCACCTGGTATGCCATGGCAAAAAAAGATCCTGAGGGGCTGTTTCTGCAGGACAATGTGGTAGCCCAGTTCAGCGTAGATGAGAATGGACAAATGACTGCCACTGCAAAGGGCAGAGTCAGACTCTTCAAGTAAGCTGTTTGCCACTTGTTCCATTTTGCTAAGCTCCAATCCTACCTGCTTCCCTGTGCAAGTCACTGAAGCTGTGCTTTTACATTGGAATGTAATATTGTCTTTGGCTACAGTAACTGGGATGTCTGTGCTGACATGATCGGCTCTTTCACTGACACAGAGGACCCTGCCAAGTTCAAGATGAAGTACTGGGGAGTCGCCTCTTTTCTGCAGAAAGGAAGTGAGTACTTAACTATAGAGGATGCAGAACTACTTGGAAGACTAGTTATGCTGTGTGTCCATGCTGGGAAAAGAAAAAGTTCTGTTGAATTTCTTAAATGCACTTAAAAGACATAATAACTATCATACTGCAAAGCTTAATGTGAACAAGGTAATCATTACTTTTTATATGGGACAGCTGGTTGGCTTTCTTTAAACAAGAAAAGACCTGGCCTTTGTATATCTTTGTATTTCATTTGTTTTTTACCCAACAATATAATTGAAGGCTACTGTTTGAAAAGAAATGAAAAGCAGATGAAGTATTTTAAGACTTGTTTTAGTTCAGAACTCAGTTACCAGATGCTGACATCTCTCTGCAGCCTGATGTCAGAGCTGGCAAAGCAGGGAAGAGGGTTTATAAAATGTTATTTTGTTTGGTCTTGTGTCTGCAAATATAGAGATTTCTCTGTTAAAGAGACAAATGGGATCATATGTATATATTTGTACTTTTATGTCATCTCTCCACCCTATACAAAATCAGTTCCTTGAGCCAATTTGAGATTCAGACACTTTGTAGCTCAAGACATTTCCTTGGATTGTTTCCAAGAGAAGCAGCTAGAATTTGGAACTGATAGGAGCTCCATTCCATCCCAAGACACAGTTACAAAGCATGGTTTGGATATCAATTTGTCTTAAACAGTTCCCAGGTCTCCCCAGAATATGCTTCTGAGTCATGGGCTCTTCAGGTTGCTGGCTGACCCCAAACTCTGCCTTTCTAAAAGGTCTGGTGCCCCCCCACAGGAGAGAAGGGGAAGACAACAGAGTGTTGCCTTCACCAGTGCAGATTTACTGCAAGGGAGAATCTTTGGCTCAAGGAGAGGAAGGTGCAGATATGTCAGGTTTTACTGCAAATACTGAAACAGCCTCACTTCTGTTAGAATAGAGTGTCTAGTGTGACCAGGTTTTTGTCATGTTACATAGCTAATTGTTTAAAATTATCTGAAGTTGTAACAGTGTTTTAAGAAGAGGGTTTATGGCAGAACTTGTAGCAAATACTCCTAATACACAAGCAAACTGCATGATTATCTTTTCCCTTAAAAATGCAGTCTAAGTAACATCCCTGGTAAGAAAATATTTATGGGTTTGAGTCACTTTGAGCAGGCCGAGCATGTCTATCTTTAATTTCTTTTAAAAAAATAAACATGGAATTAAATACTGGACACAGGAATAAATGAAAAGCTAATCTGCTATACTTTGTACTGATCTTCATCTTAGCATTTTCTTTAATAGACTTATGGCAGCAATCCTTTCTGATTTACTGGATTTCACTGGTGTCTCTAACACTTTTTTTCTTTGCTATGTTTTTTTCCAGATGATGATCACTGGGTAGTGGACACAGATTATGATACATATGCTCTTCATTACTCCTGCCGCCAGCTAAATGCAGATGGCACTTGTGCTGACAGCTACTCCTTTGTGTTCTCCCGGGATCCCAAGGGATTGCCTCCAGATGCACTGAAAATTGTCAGACAAAGGCAGATAGACCTCTGCTTGGACAGGAAATACAGAGTTATCGCCCATAATGGTGAGAACTTTTTTTTTCTGAAGAATTTTATTTCAGGGTGTAATGACTAAAGCACTGGGATTCTATTACTCATTAGATATCAAGTGCATAAAGCCTTTTACTTAGTGGCTGTAACACTGTCTTTTGAAAACTGGAGCTTGTAGTAACTTATTTCCAACTTTAGCTTCCCTTATCTGAAGGAGAGCTGAGGTGCATAGTTTTTCATGCAACATATCAGGTCACCTGAAACAGTAATTAGAGGAAGTTGTATAACAATTAAGTCAATGTAGTGTGAGTAAACATAGTAAGGATAAACTTCATAGCTATGGTAAAAAGTAATTGGGCAGCTTTTATCACATCTCTTTGCCTTTGTTCAAATACTTTTTTGAGAAATTCATCAGAAAGGCTTTTAAGGAAAATAGAAGTCTTGGAAAGGATACCTTACAGAAGACCCTTTCTCACAAGTCCTCATGTTAACTGTTTCACAAAGAGCTGTGGAAGAGGGTCATAGCCCTGATACTGGAAGCATGACACTATCTTGAGTCCTATAGTCAGGCTGAGCTTACAACACAGGGAATTAGCTCACTTATGCTCAAGTGTATTACAAAGGTCAAATGATAATTATCTAGAAGAAACTATAATGTTTCTTATGATAAGAATTACACCCAGAGTGGGGAATTGTAAAGAGTGAAGGAGAAAAATCAAAATATTTCGAACAAATAAAATAGTAGTACCTCTCCTTACTCCCTCCCCACCTCTCACATCCTGGAAGGCATGCTATTTATGAAAGACTTGACTGGTGAATCAGCTGAATGGCAACTCCCAATGTAATGATGTGAGCAAAAGAGTTAATACAATTCTTGCATGTGTAAACCAAGGCTCACATGAGATTGTTGTGCTTGGCATAGGTCTAATTGCTATGTCACATGAGGTAACAAGCATAACTGGAAAAAGTATTGAGGATTAATTAGAAGTTTTGAAGAAAAGCAGAAAAAATGATTGAAAGTTTGTAAAATGTGTCCTCTAGTGAGTGCTTTAAAGATCTTAATCTTTTCCTATTAGGAAGAGGTTAAAGGCTGACCTGAGCAAAGTCTGTGCTTGTCCACACAAGCAATAGGAATTGCATAGAAAATGACTTGCAAACACAGAAATAATTTAAATGGATGGAACTTTAAACTGGACACATTCAGAGCAGAAATAAACAGCCATTTGTTTAACTCCAAAGGTCATTAACCTTTGGAACAGTTTACCAAGAGCTGTTGTATGTTCTTCATCACTGAAATCTGTAAACCAAGATTAAAGGCTTTTCTCAATGACATGCTAGAACAAACTGAGATTGACTGAAGGAACTTTTGGGCCTTATAAAGAAAGTCAGAACAGATGAGCTAAGTCAGCTGTTGTGGCTCTATTATCTGTTCATCTGATCCATAAACAGAGTAATACATTGCTGTGTTGCTTCAAGGCACCCTGTTATCAGATCTGTTGCTAATTGTGCACACTCTGCCTATGTCTTAAAGCTAATTAAGAGTGTGTGTGTGTGTGTGTGTGTGCGCTCACTCAACTAATAGATGTAAAAAACTTACTTGATTTAAAAAAAGAATCAAAATATCTATACTGGCTATTTAAGGCAAAAAAGAAGCCTAGGAAATGAAAGATTTTTGTTCTAACTTACACTGCATTTATGATGGTAGCTCCTTCTCAAATATAGCTCAAGCTAAGATACTCTTAGTCTCTCAGAGTAGTAGCTCAAGTAACTTTAAGCTGTGTAATGTCAATATTAAGTGAGAGTACTTGTAAATACAGTGCCATATCAGTAGTGTTGAAAGCTGCATGTGCTGTTAGCATTTGCTGGAAGTAACATTTGTGAAATAAAGAGTGGTATGTTCCTTCTGCTAATTTACAATTGCCATTAGAAGTTTTGGGGGTCAGGAGATTCTTACTTTGTTGAAAGAATCCTTTTTAGGGAAATAACTTGAAGCTTGTTAAAGTATAGACTCTTTTAAATCCAGTATCACTGAAAGATACCCTGTCATTGATCTGCCCAGTACGTTGTCTGCAAAAGTATTAAAATTCTCAGGAGAAGTGTAACGGATTGGATGAATTCCTGTTTTGTTCCAAGTTGAAAATTCCTTAGAATTATAAACTACAGAGTAAGGTAATGGCATTATTATTACAAGTAATGACTGCTGGACTCAAGAGCATTTTAAAGAAATTAGTAAGCATTTTAAATTTGGTGAAAGTTTGTGTAATTAAATTTTGTCTGGAGTGTTTAACAAACATAACTGTGGTTTTTGTGTGTTTCAGGATTTTGCTCTTAAGGAGATCCAACCCTATGGAAAGAAGCCATGTTACAGCACCATGGATGTAAAGTTAACACACTGATCATGTGTTCTCTGGAAAATGCTTTAAATGGGTCCATTTAGATTTTCAATATATTTATCTGAGCTGTGTAGCTCACTTTGTTAATAAACCAATGAAACATTTTAATAAACTTGGATTACACGGGATACAAATTGTATGCAAATCTGTACATATGTACACATTGGTTTCATTAGTAGTCTGTTATCTTAGTGCACTCTTTTGAACTGGTGACTGGTGATAATTAAGAATTTAATCTTGCTTTTTGTAGTGGTTTCAATTTCTGGCTAAAAGAGTATTTATCATAAACCACCAAGTACATGTATTTTCTTTTCAACTAGAACATTATATTTTCCCTATAAAATACTCGGAATCATTTAGAAAAGAGAAAGGAATTTCAGTGACCCTAAATATCACTAATTAACTTTATTATATGACTTGCAAAGACATAAAAAATATACATATTTTTAAAAGAACTATTTTACACATGATGATTAACCATTTATTTATTTATTCTTTACTTATTAATTCTCATGTATTAAGTCCATATTTTTAATTTGAGATGGAACCAAACTAGTCATTTACTTGATGATAACACATGTTCATTACCTTGTTTCAGTTAGTCTGCTCAAACTTACATTCAGGCAGACAGTTATTGAAGTTTTTAATCAAGTTCCCTTTAAAAACTGGATTTTAAAAAAAGCAGATACTTTCTGAGGATGAACATTTTCATTAGAAACTTTTAAGTACTTAATTCAACTATTTTACATTCACCAAGTTCATTGCCATATTTCTATTTATTTCAGCGTAAGAGGAGAATTCAGTCCCTTAAATTAAATTGTCCAAATCCTACTGAGGCAAAGCAATGAAGTCAAGAGAATTTTACCCACGGGAATTAAAAATATGTATTTAGCTTTTTCCCTCCTCCTCTGGCATGTAATACTATAACATAATGACCTATATGACCTGGGATAGCATAGACAAAATCCAAAATGTAGCATAGCTCAGACTTTAAATAATTATCTGGTAATGAAAGACAAATGTGGCTGTTCATGGTTGCTTCTTCTTACAGTGGTTTCTGTACCTGCTCTATGCCTTTCAGGGTTCCCTGTACAACAGAGAAAAATTTCCTGACATTTACGTCTGAAATAGGCAACATTATACAGAATTGGATTGACAGCAGAGTTGGCAAAAGTGAATAATACTATCCAGAAAAAAACTGATGGCAAAATATTTAAATCTTCTTTGAAGTTCTGAACTAAAATTAAAAAAATAATTACTATTATTGGAGTCCACATAATGAAGAAAGAGATCATCAACAAAAAAAGGGCTCGGAATAGTTTGTAGTCTTGCTGGGAAACACGAATCTGATGACGTTCTGGATAGGCTAAACCAGCATTTAAACTTCTTCTTGATGCTTTTGTAATCTGCAGTAAAAGAGAAGAAAGCAAACTTTCACTGAAACACATTTCTACAAGTGAAAACATAAATTTTGGCACATGATGTTTTCTTTTGAAAAGCGACTACAAAAAAACCACATTGCAGAATTCATTTGTACTTTTTGTCCATGGTTCCATTTCAAATGTTCTCACTTCACTAGCAATTCTTTTTCCTCTCAGCTGTGAATTCGTCTCAATATTAGGCAAAGTGGTTGTTCTTTTCATGGCTCTCTACCAGCTTTTCAGCATAAAACAGTCTTAATTACTCATGAAATCCCATTAAATTCAAATTATGACCTCATTTGCTCTATCTAAAGAAACCCATTGATTTTTTTCACAAATGCAAACTGGAACATAGTTAACAATCCTGTTGATGCACAAGAAGGAAGGTGATCCAATTCTCTTATGGGCAAGCTGATATTGTGAGGTAGGTATTAGAAGGAACATGAATTTATTACAATAAATTATTTTAAATGTGAATGAGATTGTGCATTGTTTTGTGCCACACTTAGCTTTTCAGACAGTAATCACAATTGCTTTGTATGAAATCTTACAGATCGTTAGAGTCACTATAAAAATCTGTGTCTTATAAAAGCACTCTCTGATGTAATAAACTGGACTATGGGTAGCTTGGAAACCTAGTATTCACAGGTGTGCATCATCTGTCATTAGGTAGAATATTGGACCCAGTGGGCTTGCAGAAAATTTGAAATCCTCTGCTCTAAATCCCTGTCTGCCCTGAAGTTGGCATGGCACAATTAATTTTGCTACATTCATACCTCTGATACAAAGAAATTAAAACTGAAATATCTAGCAAAGATTTGTGCTAAATTACTGAGATGCCACTTTATGCCCCGCACGCATAAGGAAGGGGTGTTTCCAAAAAGCCTTGATCAATCAAGGCTTGATTGATCAAGGTTTTGATTAATCCTTAGATGACTATACAGGAAGTCAAAAGATAAGGCTCTACATGCCACTTTTCCCTTTAGCAGAAACTACAGGAAGGATAACATTAATACTAGCAACATTTTAACTTCCTGGTACAGGTAAGGATGAAAATGTTTAGAGAGAGTAATTTGTCATTTTGTTAGCAGTTTTCTGAATTTTTCATGGAGATAAATACTCATTAAGACTTTAGACATCTTCAAAATATTTCAATAGAATGTATAAATTAAAACCCGTGAACCAAAAGTGCATTTCTTAGCAGCTTCTGAAGCTGAGAAGGGGACAGTATCACTATCACAGCTGCTCCCCTGATTTAAAAGGAGTAGAGAAGTCTGATGTTCTGACCATGTAAAACAATTCCAGCTTGATGGTCTTCTGCTGTACAATCTGCAATCCAAAAACTAGGTTAATTCCTCCAAACAGCTCAAACCAAGAATTGTTCTCAGAGAGTGCCTAACCTATCTTAGTAAGTACAAAGGTTTCACAAAATGCAAAGGACTATTATTCACTTCTAATATAAAATTAGGAAAACTGGGTTGTGTGCGCTTCTCAGTCATCACTGTTCAAACTGCTACAGAATGTCCTCATCAGATACATTTTTATCTGTCCCATATAAATACCTTCTGTCTTTCCTGCAGGAGCTGCCCAGTCTAGAACTAAGAATGCAAGAGTCACCAGGACTGCGTTAAATAAGACACAATTGCTTCTTAAGAAAGCGTTCAAGAGAAATGGAGTGGCAGTGGTAAGTTGTGGATCTCTTTTTGGTCTACCCAGTATAGATACCTGTCCTTGGCATCTGGACCACACTTTGACAAACAGCAACTTAAAAGTCATATATATATAAGCATGTAACTTCCAGAACACAGACATCCTCCCTAGCTCTAGCCTCTGACAAAGTCTTGCCTGAGAGGCAGGACAATGGAAAACCAAATAAATTACAAATCATGGCATCTAATCTATCATTTTTGCCAGGGTTCTGGGAAGTGTTATGTAAAAATAATGCTCAGTTTCAGACTAAATTGTGAAGTACACATTTGTAATAGTGTATATTTCTAAAAAATTTCTGGTCTTGCATCTGTAGTCAGTCCTCATCATTCTGATCAATGTTGTAACATGAATACATGAATGCTTGGCACTGCTTCCAGCAATTCTGAGACTCATGCTATGTGTGCACTGACATGATGGAGCATCCTCACGAAGTGAGAGTGAGTCTGCTCTCGGGAATGGCTCAGGGATTGAGACATTCTCCAGTTCAGTTCTGCTTGCTTCCCAGAGAGACAGAAGATTCAATTATATCTTGCTATGGCCCTCAAGACTTCCTCATTTCAGGGGAAATGGTAATGTATTTCAGCATCTCTGTTAGCAAGTTAGAAAAGAAACAGGAGCAGAGCAGCATGGGGATGTCTTGTAATCCAGTATTCCAATCCATGCTTTTGGTTTCTAGCTCCCTATGTGCCATTTTAAAAATAAATTTACCTGTAATCTGGAGTCTGCAAGGACAGGACTAACAAACACCATTCCTGTCCTGGCCTCTGACCAAGAACTGTGGCATTTCTTGGCCTCCAGTAATTTGCAGTTCTTTCAAAGGACTCACTCTCCAGTGAGTTACTCTGAGCTCTTTGCCTACCTGTATGTGGTTGCAAGTGCTTTACTTCACTACAAGAGGTTCACCTAATGCATTTACCTCAAGGTTATAATGAGATAATACAGAAACTACAGGCTGATGACTTCTACTACAAGTTTAAGTTTGATCAATAAGCAAGGATATGTGGAGACCAGATTCTAGGTCCTTGACTCATTTTACACCTACATCCAGCTCTGGCATGTGTATCCAGAGCCTGTTGGTGCTCAACATTTCATCAGCTAACTCCTTGCTCAATAATCTATGTATGTTGAGGTTCTTTTCCAAAACCTATAATTTTCTTATGAGAAGTTTAATTACCCAAAAAAGGAAGCAAGGATCTTGTAGGTGTTTGTTAAAAACTAGGCATTGCAGTGACTAGTTCAAAGTGCTTGGTTTGAAGATTTCTAGATCTTTCTCATTCTAGTTTTGGATAGTTTAAAAGGAAATTAGATGCTAATATAATGCTTGCTAGACTATAGATTAAAACTCTGTGGTGCTGGGTGACTTATATTTCAGCATATATGTTAAACATCATCCACTTAGAATGAAAGTGGAAGCAGATGGTTTAATTTATAGGTTTTATTTACAATATTTGAAATTGTGGAGGATTAAGCATAATCTAATGAGATCTGTGTACTAAAGACACATGCAGAAAGTCAGTAGATCAAAAAGTGGATGGCTTTTTTTCTAGTCCTGCCTTTCTCTGCTTTCTTACAAATCCCTTATTAACAGTTTAGGCTCAAGGAAAGCAAAATCAAGTTTTTAGTTATTTCAAATGCTTGACTCTTTCAGCATTTAGGAGATTGACAGTCTTGAAATATGAGCAGCACATAAATGTAGAAGTGTATTTAATATTATACATAAGAAGACAAACCATGTGATGGGCTCTGCTAATGTGCTGCTGAAGCACGTTCTTAATTAAAGTATATAGACTGTTATGTGCAGGTTGAAATATTTCATGTCACATACTTATAATTTATTGAACAAATGTTCATTCTCTCTACATGTATTGGTATTTGGTGACAATATACTGATGCCTAGTGAGTTATTGTTTACTTCCCTTTATTTGCAACAAAATTTAAAGGAAAAACATACCTGTAAGATTTTGGAGTAACTGATGACAATGATGAATCCTGGTATCAGAAAGAAAACAATGGCAAAGGTTGTATCCCAGACTGTTTCTCCTGCAGTGCTGGGCCAATTCAGGGTGCAAATATAAATGTCCTATTTACAAACAATGAAGAAGAAAAGTAATATTGTACCATTATTTTCAGTACAGCACTGTTCTTATCTCCCTCTACGCTTATGGGAAAAAATGGCTAAACCAAGACTAAACCAAGACTGTGAAAACTTTATACTTAGACAAAAAGGTCAAGTAATATATTACTTGATGGTTTTAAAAGCCCATACAATCACAAATATATATGTCCACAACTGGAATACTTCCATTAATTTCTTTTCAAATGGTAATGGCAACTTTAAAATTGAAACTTACAAGCCCTAAACTTATTAATTTATTCAAGTGTCATGTGAGGTGCACTTTTGTATGCATTTCAAAATATGCGCATGGCCATTTTGTACAGAGGGGGCTGCGGCTGCAGGGCAGCTCTCCCAGGACGCTGATCCTTCGGGATGCTGATCCCTCGGTAAGACGAAGTGAGCTGAAAAGGCGGTCTCTGAGCCGCACTGAGGAACACAAAGAGAATCTCAGCCGATGCGCGTTTCCCACCTAACGGGACGGTCCGCCGGGGGGCGGCGG